GTTACCTTCCCACCAAAGTGGCACCTATTTATCTACTTGCATTTGTATGTTTTGTAACCGCTAGGTGGGCAGGAGGGCAAACAACAGGTGGTCACCCCTTTGTGTGGTGCTCAGGTCTCGAACCCAGTCTATCAGCTTTCCAGCTCTCAAGCTCAGTGTTTTTAACCACTGATCCACTGCGTCCCTTCAATGCATACAGTTATCTCTTTCCAAATGTCTCTCTCCAATCAATGTTGCAAAAGGAGTCCTCCGTCACGTTTTGGGAAATCAAACTGTTGGAAGAGGAGAAAATACACTGACTTCATTCTTCTTAGTTTCACTGTGTCAGTAAGAAGAAATTAGAGAAGCTTAATGCTGCTCGGCCGAAGCAAATTAGATTTTTTTTAGAGAGAGGCTCCTTCCTTCTCCTTCCTGGGCAAGGTCAATCTAATTAAAACAATTCTAAGATAGCTATTATCTTTCTGTGTTTTTTCATGTTCACCTAATCTTACTAAAAGAATAAAATGCCAGAAGATGAAGGGTCAGTTTGTTTTGCTTATCAGATATAATCGATGATTTTCCCAACAGAACCACTCAGGAACATTAAAGACATTAAATTCTCTTGAACTGACTTAATAGTCCTAGGATGCACATAAAACAATGCAGAGTTAATCTGTCTGCAGCTGCTCCTGAATTATTTCAGGCTTCTTAAGAGAGTTAGAACTTGATGTGTTCTCCAGATGGATTAGAACAGGGGTCTCCAACCTGGGGGTCATGAGACATTTGCAACTGGGGCATGGAAACGTGTGCATGCATCTTCACGTGTATGAGCAACGGGCACTGAAGTAGCATGTTGCATTCATCAGGTTTTGCTCTTTTTTTGGGAGCTTATTGTCTTTGTTAAAACAGAGTGTGTGAGAAGAAAGTATTGAAACTTCTTAAAAGCCAGTTTTCAGCCCAAAGATCTCAGAATAATTTTCAAAGCAATCAATAGCCAACCACAAAAACTGTATTGAGACATTATGTTATCTCCATCCTCACCTGTAGTTCATGCTGGGCAATCCTCTATTAGATTGTTTCTATGGATGTGAGTTTCTAAATGGTTTTAAAAAACCAGTGCAAGGATATTGGGGTGCTAGGGTGGTTTATTAACTGCAGAAGCCAATTGCTGAGGCAGTGGAGCTGTCCCCTTGGAAACTCTTTAGTGTTCTTTAGTATTAATCTGCTAAAATTATTTCCAATTATTCCTTTTGCACCATAGGAGAGCTGAGAGTTAATCAGGTCCACTGTCCAACACTTCTGGGCAATGGCGCTAACTCACAGCTGCTCTGCAATTGATACAAAGACCTGGTGTGAAAGTTCTCTAAGCAGTTTTCCTTGAAACTTCAAAATTGAGATGGTAGGGGGAGGTGTCCAGAGGTAAACTAGAATGTAGAGAAGGGATATAAGGGCAATATTGAGAAAGAATGGGTTTCTTCTTTACTTAAACATACAATAAAAACAGCAGTTTTTCCATTTAAAGAAATACTGGTATTTTTTTTCTCCATATATTTATAAGAATACTTTTCTTCACTCTCTAACTGATCAAACTAAAACCATCATAGCATAACTTAGTTGCCTCATGCAATAGTGGGTATTATCAATATCCAGCTGCATAAACAATATGTCATGAAGCCAGCTGCATGAACAATATATTATGAGGTATGTATGGTTCCCACTTTGTAGGCATTCCTTATGATCTTGAAGACCTGGCTGTTTTCCTTTGAGTTAAGATGAATGGAGCTCCTTGGCGAATGCATTTTTAAAGATATGATTTGGGACTGAGTGGCTGGATTCCATCCTGTCTACTTATTCTGTCTGACACAAGTCCTGCTGTGCTCCCTCACCATGGTTGGTGGTCCTGGGAGGGATGAGCAAAGAACATCAGGAGTATGTATTCTCAGCAGGGTCATCCAAGGTGCGAAAGTCATTCCAGCTGCCCAGCTAAACTACCAGGCACTAAATTGGCCAATGGCAATAGAGGAAAATGCTGAAGGTGGATATTACTTTATTGACAATGGCAAGAACATCGATTAATGCTATGCAGGATAATGTAAAGGTAAATCTTTTTTTTTTTTTTTAACCATATTGACAGAAATTATAAATCTATTGGCAATGTAGTGCTGGACGATGGACCTTCAGGACTTCTAGTTGCTGATGTTGCTATAGGGAAGAAGAAAATCTGAAATTATGATGGAACATAAGACTCATGAACACTGGAAAGCTCAGCACTGTTAAGCTATTAAAGATGAATTAAAATGATTACAACTTGAAATTTTATGAATCAGTGAATTGAGACGGAATGGCATTGGACACTTTCAGTCAGAAGACCATGCTGTTTATTACTCAGGACATTAAAAACAAAGAGGGAACTGCATTGCTTTTATAGAAAGGAAGGGTATAGCAGCAACAATACTAAGCTACAGTGCAACTAGTGATAAAACAATATCAATTAGACTTCATGGACAAACCTTTAATATGACAGTCATCCACGTTTATGTTTCAATCACTGATGCAAAAGAAGAAGTTGAATAATTTTATGATCAAGTCCAATTTGAAACTGACAGAATGTGCAAGCAAGATATGCTGCTTGTGACTGGAGACTGGAATGGAAATATTAACACGAATGTCCTCTTCCAGGGAGAGTCCAGAATGAAGAGATGTTTCTTTCTCACCCAGTAAAACTGAGTGCACCAAGGGATGAGATGTAGCCAAACATGTTAAATAAACTCATTCGTGAAAAGTGCTAGTACAGTTCCATATTTATAATATTGACAAGATTGGTTTCTTTTGGTGCTCTCTTTCCAAGAACACTCAGTTAAGTATAAAAGATCTATTGCAGGATGAAAGAACATCAAGAAGACCTTACCATTACTTTGTGCCTATGGATAAGAGATTAATGTCAATCATATAAAGCCTATGTTTTCTGAAGGTGTTGAAAGACATAATACATGAAATGCTAGACATATATTCTAATTAATGGAAGCCATGTAGTCAAATTTCACAATATTGGTTCTTCAGTCATTTTGTGCCAGATCTCAGAAGTTACCAATATGAGATGCTGAAAATGCCATTGGAAAATATGAAATCTCTCAATTCTTGACAGTACTCCACTCATCCATCAGCAGTTTGTGCACAAAAGATGGAACACGCAATATGGATATATTTGTCTTCTATTGCAACATTAATAATCGAACTCATGGATCAGATAACCATCCTGACCACCAAAAGTTTTTTTTTAAAGTTACCTATATCCATTCACTACATTCCACACATGAGAAAGTCACAGTCAACATTTGGATTTAATGGATCATCTTTTCTCAACTGGGTCCATTAAATCAATGTTTTGTTATAAGCTGCACGCAGTGAGAATTCCAAAGAATTTTCAAAGAACAAGATTAAGCATGGTAAAAAAAAATATATGAATGGATAATAAATGAATGATTGAATAGAAAACTTAGTGGCCCTTTTGAAAGAAGCACTTGGAGGAGTTTTGTCATACAGAGAACAAGTGGGAATCGAACCCCATGTAGGGTGTATTGAGGGGAAGGGGAAGAATGAGAAAGTCATGACTAAATAGCATTAACCACATGCCAAACCAAAGAGAAACATTTCTCTATTTTTCCCCATTTAGGCCACTCTGAACAGCAGCACTTGGCATTGGGTGTTGGGTGAAAGCTGGCATGTTACACAAAACGTCATAGTGTGCCACCTTGACACATGTATCATGCCATCAATGTTTTATTATTTCTTACTCCCTTTTCCATGCTTCATATTACATTATTTATCCTGGAAGGGAAAAACAGGATGGGCATGATGAGGATGAAGAGAGACAAAAACTCAAGAGAAGCTACTCAATTGGATTCTCTCTCTATCCTAAGTATCAAACTGTTACCACTAATTACAAGTATTAGTTAAATAAACAAATTAATTGATCAAAATATACTTTAGCTCTGGAGAATAATATTTCAAATATGTTTTCTTCAATCTGGTGCTCTCCAGACGCATTAGACTTTTGACTCCTATAATCCCTAGTGAAAGGCCTTGCTGACTGTTAAGGAGGGCAAAATACAACATATCTAGAGATACCAGACTGGACAGGTGTGGCCTCATTGTTGTAATGCAATGGCAAAATGAGGATACATCTTAAAAAAGTAGAAATTCCTACTTCATTTGTAAAATCATTTTATTGGTACAAATATACATTATGAATAAAATTCCTTCTGCCCATATTGTAAGGAAATGCATGTAAAATATTGAAAAAAGTAAAGAATTGCTTTTACAGACAAGGAACTGCTATTCATTTTGAAGTACGTGATAAAAGTCGAGAGGATGCAGACAGATCCCAAAGTAACCTCTACAAAATACCAATATTGATAAAATATCCATTGCCTTCATTTCAATCAACATACATTTACTTATGGATATGGAAGCATAGCAAAGTGTTAGTAATTGTATTTCTACTTTTGTGCTTTTGAACAGTACACAAAATGTAAATGATTTGTGTTCTTAAATTACAACAAATATGGATAAAGTCTCCCAAAGGAGGATGTAAAAATCATATCCAAGCATCTAATATATATTATTTATACAAATTCTTTTATTAGTGTGCTCTGTTGATATAATTACAATGTGCAATTGCATTCAGCAAGAATATATTTATAAAGTAAGTTGCGTGCAAGTTTGACAAATTTACATTCAGCAGTCCAACACTTTTCCTGCTGCACAGTAATTAGGGTTAGTTAGTGTAAGAAAATGACCAATCTATTTGCTTTGAGTTTTTTCAACCACAAAGCTCTAATGCAAGGCATTGTGTTTGTAGCTGCTTCAGAAAATTCAAGTAGAAGACATGGAATAGTTGCTGGCTTTAGCAAAGGCATGATAGAGAAGATCTGGAAATAGTCAGAAAAAAAAAGAACCAAATTCTTTTAAAATCTGATTACCAGTGCAAATATTGAACTTTGAGAAGCTTCGTTTTTAAAAAATTGAAAGGAAAGGCTAATGGGAAAAGGGGTCAGTAATAGCTGGACTCCATTATCACAAAAGAATATGTACCGTTAAGCCCATACCAACCAATTAAATAAAAATAAAGTCTTTATCTGGCTCTTCTCCAGAGTCACTGGACTTGCTTCCTTGTTGGCCATTTTTCCTTAAAGGTCTCTGCTTCTGTTCCTGGGATTCAGAAATCTGATGTCCTGGACTTTTCTTTGGACCTGTATTGTGAGACAGAAGGCTTTGTTAAGGAAGCTGAAATCTTCTCTAAAAATAATCCCTGCAGAAAACAAAGCATAGTTCAATTTTTCTACAATATCATCCTGAATATCCCGCTGTTCTGGAACTAGAGATCTGAAGATCTCTATGATGTGAGGTATCTTCAATATGATATCCATCTCTGCCCTGACAAATTAAGCAATGCTGTGGACATTTTATCCCAATGTATGGAGGTTGGGAGAGTCTGGATAGGAAACTGTTAGGGTTTGGGGATTAACCCCTAGCAGAGTATTGCAGCAGTAGT